AACTCGGAGCATGTACACATGCTCTCTGCACACTCCAGCAGCTTGCGTGATGTTAATGGGAGCCCGGCTAGCACAATTGCTTACACGGACAACCTTTGTTGCCTTGGAACTATTGGACTTTTCAACGACAAGTTGGAAGCCCTCACCAGAAGGTTTGGACTTGCCTATGATAAAAGGCTTAAGTCACCTGTTGTCCCACTCTCTGATAAGGCCACAGGTCTGCCTTACCTTAGCGGCGAAATCTCTTAGTTCAGAAGATCAAGAAGCTTGTTCAAGAAGTTCATTATCTGTTAAATGCCGTTGTTAAAAAGGCTGCTAGCAATGCGCATATCGAGCTTCAAATTTGGCTTGGACTTTCTCCCATTAAGGGCCTTCCTAACGGCTTGTTTGCCAGTTTGCGCGACTCCAAATCTGGGGTCAAAAAATCCAGTTGCAAAAGGCATGGACGCTTGTGACAACGTGTCTTGTTCCACGCATGGTATGTCTGCAGAGTCAAACCAATCCAAGTGAATTGCAGTTCGTGGAATTAAAGTGTCTCCAATTGTTGAAGCTAGCTAGACAAACACAACCAGCCTGAACAAACAACGTCCTAGGAATAATGCCATTGTTTGTGGTTGTTGTTAATGTAGGATTTTTCAGGAGTTGTGTTGTAGGTCGTCACCAGTAGGAGCCGTCGTTGTCATCGCAGGAGTGGTCGTCCGCCAAGTAGTGGCGTCGTCGTGGTCATGGTTGGCAGTAACCGTCGCAGTAGTTGTAGAGGGAATGGTAGAAGGGGGAACAAGAACATCATTCATATTGCATCCACGCCCAAACACTGGTATTTACAGCGTTTTCGCCAGTTTGTACAATGTATTGTTGCCCGAAAGGCGCCAGATACTGTGGCAACATGCTGGATTGAGCAGGATGCACTAAGGATTGGTGGGATATTGCTTCCGCGTAATGTTTCTTCATGGCAATTGTTGAGTGCCATTGATCCGCCGATGCAATTGTGATTTCACGATTTGACGTTGCCCTTTGACAGACAGATGGTCCTATGTATATTACAGGGACATCACCGATGCTTGATTGTATGACGGTCACGAAGAGCTAATGTGGACACTGGTGGTGATAGGTTATTCTGCAAACGTTATGCATTGACCACTCCGGTAAGTGAGAGCGAGACGATGGATCTTTGATTGGATTGACACATGCATTAAGGTATTCTCGTCTCCGTGGAGTCAGATTTGATTGACGACTGTATCAGTGCATGCGAGTTCTTTGGATGATGGAATGGTTTCATGGGTTGCTTTGCTTATCAACCATTTTATTTCAGGCCTAGTTGATTGATGATATCTTCTTTGCGATTGACATACGCTGATTTCAGGAAGCTACGCAGTGAGTATTGCTGTCTTTGTGCGGCGTTGCTTGGTCTGCAAGATATAAGGGTCATTGTTCAAGAGAACAGACTTGGACTGTCTATTGTGGCCCTTATCCAAAGCAGCATCTCGACTACTGTGTTGAGACTGCGCTCGTGGATCTTCTGGATTGCGCTAGATGCAAGCTGGCTTTGATTCTACCTCAGTGACAGCATTGTCTCAGCATTGCTCATTGGTCAGCTGCTTCTTTTGAACCTCTTCGTACAGCATGGAGGTTTTGCAAAATTAGTTTGGCTCTGTCATTGTCCTCATGCTGCAGATTTCAATTGCACGAACAGTGATTGGTTTTGTTTGCAGACTGCTTCGTGGGATGATTTGCGTCGTTCCCGGATGGAACGAATGATTGCGAGTGGATTGCTTTCATGGAGATCTTCGGTGCGGTATTGGATACCGTGTTGAACTCAGATCTGGAAAGTTCATTGCAACTCCACCTATGTTGCAAGACCTGCCGAATTGAGCATGTTGAGTCACATTGACCTACTCATTGTGACATCAAGCCGTTTCTCAGAGTGTCACACGAAGCGACGAGCCTTTGGTACAGAAAGATTGCCAAATCCAAGAATGCCTTCGGATAGGTTGACCGCAATCACAAGTTATTGCAGTCTTGACGTGAAGAAACTGAGCTCATTGAGCCCCATTGGCAGAAACGCTTTCTAATTCATTGGTCTCTAGTTTCTGGTTCTATTCACTGCGAGTAAGCTGTGTTTGGATGATTGCTAAGTCATTCATTCAACGCGGTTGTTGATCTTGCGATTGTAAAGGTCACGGAGCTCTAAAACAAGAAATTGGCCACAAGATGCCAGTTCCAGACCATTGTCTTTGTTTTATCAAGTAACAGATGACAAGTAAAAAAGAAGACAACGGCATGTGGAGTGGTAGTAGATGGTAGAGAGAAGGAGCAAGAGAACTCCACCTTGTCGCTTCTTCCATTTCCTGTTCGAATGACAAAGGAAGGAAAAAGGAAGGGGAAAGCAGCTTTCTTCGTCCTTCTTTTGCTATTTCCTACTTCTAAAGCCCTTTGCCATACGTCTGTTTCTCAGGAGCCTACAGAGGTTTCCAATGAAAGTCTTTCCAGAGAGAGCTTCAAAAGGGGAAGAGGGGGGAAAGAGGAAGACGCTTTCTACCCCTTTCGAGTTAAGAGAAAAACGAGTAAGGTAGACAGAACGAGGAAAACACCTCTTTCTTTCTTGTCGTTCCCATTTCCTTTCTTATCCTTGACCTTCGTCTTGGAGGGGCGAGGAGAAATGGGGCACGGGATGGGGAGGAGCAAGTGGGAGGAGAATGAACAGGAGAAGAGACAGGAAGGGGAGAGCGGGGAGAGAGAGAGGGAGAGAGACTTTGAGAATGATACGATAAAAAACCCAACAAGCGAAAATGAACGGTGGAAAGAAAGGGAGAGGAGAAAGGGAGGAATGAAGGGACATGGCTTGCGATTTACGACGTGGACAGTGTGCAAAAAAGAGGCGGCACTGATAGCAAGGGAGATACGTAGAAGGAGCGGCAAGAAAGGCAACGACAAGAACCAGACGTGCCAGAATGAAGACAGAGAGAGAAAGAGAGTAACGAGAAAGAGAGAAAACAAGAGATGAGAACATGAGAAGGAAACGGATGAAGTGGGAATAAACTTCTTGTCTTTAGTTCTTGCTGTTATTTCTCTCTTCCTCTTTGCCAAAAAAGAAGACAAGACTAGGACAGGTGAGCTGTCTTCCTCTTTTCTCTTCTTCGTTGTTTCTTTCTTTCGAGTGGCGGAGAGGACATGTGCTTCTGTCTCCCTTTTTCTCTTTCTCTATCTCTTGCTCCGTGTCTGTCGTTCTCCTTCCCTCGTTCTGTGATTTATACTTCTTTCAATATCCACCAGGGCCTGCGGTTTTCGCAGGGGGCTTCCCTGAGAGGTTCCCTTCCTACAGGCAGCCTAAACTTTGGGCTTCTTTACCATAGGTTGAGGAGATCTTGGCCAGACACCTGGTTACGTCGCTCCCGGACCCCAGACTCAAAGAGCTGTATTGGCTACGAAAGTGCCCGTGATCCCTAACCCCTACACCCCGGCGCCCCTTGTAATCCGAGGCCCTTTGCCAGTTCCTCATCCTTCCGGATGCCAAGGTAGCGAAGGCCACAGCTGCGGGGTTTCCTGAATCTCGTGTAAGGAAGAGGTTGAAAAGTTTAGGGTTTAGGGCTAAAGGTTTCGAATTTAGAGTATCAGGTTTCGAGTTCAGAGTTTAGGCTTAGGGTTCACCAATGTATTTGAAAAAAAGGTGGATGATTTGTCATGCTGTTGGTGAAAACCTTTGGTCCCAACAGCTGGGTTAAATGTCACAAATGTAGCCAATACTTCTATATAGCAATAGAACCTTTCAATCAGAGCCAAAAGTAGGACTTAGCGTTTTAGGGTTTGTAAGCATACTTCCTACTTTCGGTTGGGTTTGTGTAGAAGGGACCACAAGTATCAAGTTCTGATGCCCCATTGTGCAACCAACCATAACTAACCCTAAGCCATCAACTATAAGCTTTCTAGCTTCCTAAATTCCCTAAACTTCCAAAACTTCTTAGACTTCCCAAGCCCTAAACTTCCCATTCCGAAAGTTCCTTCATGCGCGGTCACATCTCCGTTAGATTGGCTCCGGCGCCCGCCGCCCCAGCGGCCCAGGCGAATTGTCCTGCAGTTGCAGACCCTCCTTTTTTGAACTTTGTTTGAACTTCCCAAATCATGAACTTCCTAAACTTAACTTCCTAAGCCCTGAACTTCCCAAGCCCCAAGCCCAAGCGTTAGCCGACGGGGCAAGCTTCAACCGTTTTTGGGGCGGCGTCGGCCCGAACATTAGCTCCGATCTGCCCGAGGAAGCTGGAAACGGTATCAAGTGGCTTAGGGCTGAGGGTTAGGTGTTGGGAACCCCCGCAAGAGATGTTCGTCAGGCAAAAACCACCGTTTTGGCCAGCGCCCAGAGCAGATGCTTGATGCACAAACTGAAGGTGCCTGGCATGCCTGGGTATGCAGACTTGAATGCTTAAGGATATTTTTCCTTGTATTTTTCGAAAAGATTGCAGTACAAGTGTGTGTGTGTGTGTGTGTGTGTGTGTGCATTGCGGTTGCCTGCGCGGGTGCGAAAATCTCCCGAAGATCGAGGACACAAATTCTGAAGACACATGGAGTCTAGGGCTGTGGCTCCGAAGAATGGTCTGCGCACCTTTGAGATCCTGGAACCCCTACCGTCGTCCTGGTGCTCTGGGTTTTCGGATTTCGAGCTTCGTTGGATCCTTTCGGATTCTTTAGGAGGATCCCAAGATTCAGCCGGACGTCTTGGAACTTAGAACTTAATAAGCTTTCCGAAGCTTAAGCTTGAAGTTTTTTGAACCCAAAGGGCCAGGGCCGACCGCAATATAGAGACCCCCCTAAATTTAAACACTTAGATAGAGACAGACCGCAATACCCTATGGGCTCGAGTTCAGCAGAAGTGTTTGAGGAAGCAGTCCGTAACATAATGAACGTTTCAGGCGCCGGTGTTTCGAATGCAGGTTTGGTGGTTTTTTCATGTGTGCAAAGAACATGAAGCCTCATGTGAACGAGTAAGGGCTTCTTCCAAAACGGCCATGTCTCGCCAAGCAGCCTTGCTGCGTTTGCTCCCACCTTTCGTTGGGAGGAGGTGCGCCGAATGTCGTGCTTCCAAGGCTTCTGAGCTCCGTGATCAAGGTAGAGGGTAGAGGGAAATACACATGAGTCGGAAACCCTAAGACCTTATGGCTTTATATGGCTTTATATATGTGTTTGCAAGCTGAGCAGCAATTCGGCAGGCAAAGCATCGAGCGCAAGCAGAGTGTCGTGGTCTCTGGGACTTCGGAGGTTCAGGCAAGGTATTCGCTTGCTTCCATATTGACAACGGCCCCGAAAGCAGAGGGCGCGAAACCCCATAAGTTGACGCCATTCTTATGTTGTTGGAGCCACTTCGAGCTGAATCGAACGACTGCGCTCGGAAACCAACCTCTTGGAGGAGCTACACACGCCGGAGTGGATCCCGGCCTGGTTTTTCAGCCAAGGCTGTCCTCGTCCAAACTGGGCTTTAGGAACTGTAGCGTTTCTGCGGGTTTAATGGTTCCACGTTGCTGGATTGTTTGAGGGGACTTTCTTCCTGTCGCAGGAAGCTTAATTTTGTTGCCGTCAAGCGTTGCAAATTGCGGTGGTTTCTGTTTTTCAAGCCGGCATAACCCCCAAATTTGCCGTCTCCTGCGAGCTCGAATTCAGAGTTTGAAACCCCAGAAATATTGTAAACCTAAATTGGCCCAAATCCTGATTACTCTTGAGAAAGTCCCGGGTCTTCATTACCCAACCCACTGCCAAGCCACGTGTTGCAAAGCTTCCGGCCCTTCCAAGGGTGGTGTGTGCCAGATGAGGTGAAAGAGATGATGCTGGACACCTGTTTCTGTTGGGAGGTTGGCTTACGTTCAGATTGAGATCGCCGAAAACGAATTCCCCCCCCCCCCTTCAAGCAGGATCATAGAACCACTCTCCCTCCGTGTTCGGGAGGAGAAGCAAAAAGAAGAACAGCTCGGCGGCAAACTCACTTTCTTCGACGTGGCTGGCCCCCCTGTCAGGCGGGGTGCTTGGGGGGGAGGATATTTGGGGCGCATGGAAGTTCTTAACGGATCCCATGTAGGAGTTCGTGAAGCTGCCGAGAGCTTTCCAGGTTCTTGTGGTGGGCCACGGTCCTCTACTGGTGTTACACGGTCCTGCTGCCCGGTTTGGCCTTCACCTTCACCGAGTGCTCAGGGAATGGCCAGATGATGGCAACCTACGCGTCGTGGCTTTGGGCCAGCTGTGTACCAGTCTTCGCCGGCATGTTCATCATTCAGTGGTGGTGTCTCATGCACCTTTGGTGTGCAGTCCCAGAGAGTCCTTAGTTGTGGCTCTTGCATTCAGTTCGCGAGGGGTCCCGAGGTGAGACCTGCAAGATCCTGCAAGCAGCTTGTTTCTCCTGAGGTATACCATTGTACCGATGGTGCAATGGCTGGAGTTCCTGCCCGTGGGCCCCATCAAACAGCCTCCGTTTTGGCTCTGGCTGGGCTACAACATGACGATGAGCGCCATCACCATGACGGACGTCGTGACGCAGGGCTTCTTCTTAGCATCGAGCCTCCGCATGTTCACGTGCCAAGGCAAGGGGCCCGTGCGAAACCAAGTCTGCAGCGAGAGCTTAGAGGCCCCCACCCCCTAGAAACACCTCTGAGGCCCCGAAGCGGTTCTGAGCACCCATCCGCCAGGTTGGCACCACCTCGATGTTGCGTGGCAGGCGGTGTGGAGCCAGTCCATTTTGCACTGGATTCCACTCGGAACGAACCTGAGGCGTGTCCTGGGGTGTTTGTTGGGTGTTGAAGGCCACTTGAAGGCCACTTGAAGGCCACTTGAAGGCCACTTGAAGGCCACTTCATCCTCGCTTTTGGCTGTGGTTTTTTGTCGGGGGCATCTGGTGCTGGGGGCGATGTTTCCCACCGCCCCTTCTGACTGATCAGGCTGGTGCTTGTCCTGCCTTGGGTGGTGCTCCTGATCCAGCTTCCCTTTTTTGTGTTCTCCGTGCTGCCGGTGCCTTGGGTTTAGCTGGGGGGGGGGTTCGGGCATCCCCACACTGCGCATTCCGCAGATATTCCGCAAGCTTGTCGTCGGCTGTTGTCGTCTGCTTCTCTTCGGTCTGGCAATGCAGCTTGCGGAGACATCACGGGACTTGGGGCATGTCAGTCAGCCAAGGTGCGGGTTTGCTCCGAGGGCAATTGCGTGGCCTACGAATGCCGTGCAGTGACCCGGCATGCTGCTGCGTCTTCTTTTCCGCGTCGTTTGTTGTCTGACTGATAGGAAGCATGAAGAAGCGTGAAGCGTTGTGATCCCAAGAGTCCTCGGCAATGCCGGAGGGACATAGGCATAGGCACTTTTCAGAAGAGAAGTGTCCAAAACCTATAATGCAAAGCTCCACTGAAGCGGTAGTCAAGCCCCCGAGGAGAAGAACGGCTACTACGCCGTCGGGAGCACGCAGAGAATTTGGCACGCAGATGCGCTGAAGCCGTTGGCCCGCCTGAATCGGATGGCGCTTCTGAAATCTGTCCTGTCTCTAGAAGCGACCTGTTTTTTCCTCTGTCTAGACGGGTTCCTGGTTCTGGGTTGTTCTTGTTCATGAAGCCCTGAAAGCTCTTGAAAAGCTGTTTGAGCCAGAAGAGGAACGACGGTCAGTTCCAGTGGAGCGTCGCGCGGGCTGCCTGGCAGACTCTGCACCCAGCCGCAGACAAGACGCCTCTGGAGGCAGATGGGGATGCGTGGCGGGCCGTGCAGTTGCTGCGATGAACGTCCCAGCGTTTTCAGCCTGCACACGCACATGCACACTTACACAGATGTTCAAAGATAAGCAGGAAGAGAGACAATCGTGATTTTGAGGAGGTGGCCCGGCAGCTCCACATCTTGAAGATGGAGATGCGGCAGCTCATCCTGAGGGCGTCCCTGTTCATCCTGTGCCAGAACTGCACCAGACTGGAGGCGCTGACGAACGCGTGTAGAAGCTAAACAGCTCGAACCCGATAGTGTCCTCACTCTTTGGGGCTCGAAACGCCTGAAACTTGGGAACTCTCTAGTGCCCGCCCTTTGCGGCAGCAGTACACTCTCGCAGCGGACAAGCAGGAGGACTCATGTTGCAGGTGATACCCAGAGCTTGCCATCGCACGCCGTCCTGTCCTGCGTCCGCTGCATCCCTGAGCCCCAAAAGCCTGACTTTTCCAAACCTTGGGGAGGTGCAGACGACATTCTTTGCCCTGGCGCGCATGGCGAGGCTCCGGGATCTGAATTCAATCGCTGGGCTTCGCTAAGCGGCTAAGGTCTGGGGCTGAGGTTCTGCAGCGCGGTTTTTCTGGCGCACGCTCCGCGCAGAGGTGGAAAGGCGACCTGTGGCAAGATGGCCTCTCCCTGGCCCTGACGCACCTCGCCTCCCTCTACGAGCTCTTCAGCTTGGCCGGGAACGTCTGGAAGGCGCGGGAAACTGCCAGGGTTCAGGGTTGCCTCTTCTCGTTTCTCCTGGGCTTCTCGTGTCAGTGTTGGCCTTCTCCAGTGTGCAGGTGCGGTGCCTTGTGAAGAGTTTTTGGGGCTTTTTGTGCTGTGTTTTGTCTCTGGAAGGGCCTATTTGCCCCTAAGCATGGAGGTTTTGGACGGTTTGTTTTTACGATTCCCAGTGCGTGCCAGTTGACCCTTTTGCACTCTTTGCTGCCTCGGACAGGTGCGGGACTTGAAGCTGGAAGCGCAGCTCTACGCCCAGCAGCAGGTGCCCACAGGGGGGGGGTTTCCCCAAGCTACACGCCACCAAAATCTCACGTTCCCACACTACCGCTACCCTGAATTCCCTGCCGAGCCCCCCCCTCCCCCAAACAGCTTGGTAACAGAATGGTAGGGTAGCGTTTGGGGTTTGCGAAGCCCACCAAAGCCTGGAGCAAGATCCTCCGTCCAAGAGCGCAGCTCAACCGACGAAAAGCCCCCACAAGCAAGGAAGTCTCAAGAAGAACCCCCCCCGCTAGTCCCTAAAGACCTAAAGACCCTTAACACCCTAAGCCCTAAAGACCTAGCAAAAAAAGCCCAAAACCCAAACTCAGCAAAGAGGTGGAGGCCACCGACGAGGGCAGCGCCAAGGCCGAGGCTGAGAGGCAGCACGCGGCTGTGAAGGAGGAGGTCAGGGAGATCTGGCACCGGGAGGTGGGTGGGGTGAAGAGTGCGGTGAGGGTTTAGGGTTTAGGGTTTAGGGCTTGGGGTTTGGGGTCTGAGGTTTGGGGCCTGTTTGGGGTTGAGAGAGTGGGTCTTGAGGGGCTTCCACCAGAATTGCAGGTCGCAGCGCGGTTTTGTGCGTGTGAGCTTCTCCCTACAGGCGTGTGGCTGTACATTTCAGTGTTTGTTTCAGTGTGCTCACGCTGTTTTGGCTTCTTTTACTGCTACGTAATTTGGGGTTAGTGTTGTGCTTCTAAGTGTTAAGACTAAGTTCTTGTTCTCAAGAATTCTGATCGCGACTGCAAATGTCATCTCTTCTGTTTATTCATAGTATGACTTGTTTTTTTACCACCATTGATCTTTTGAAATTGTTCTTATTGTGCTGCTTCTCTGTCTCTGCGGAACTCTCTATCTGGCCGTAGTTCCATGTACCTGACTTGCATGGGCTCCCAGCCTTCGGCTGCTGGTTCCAGAATTTTTGGGATCCCCAAAAAACCCTAGAAAGCCCTTGAAAAGCCCTCCACAGCTCCCCCTGGAAGGTCTCCATCCTGCTGGTCGTGTGCTTCGCCTTTATCGTGCAGGTCCACGCCGGCGTCAAGCTGGTTGCGGCCCTCTTCTGGTGCCCCGATGCGGCTCCCTGGCTCTTTCTGCGCTGTTTTTGCTGTTTTTTTGGTGGTCTGTTTTTTTTGGTGCGGCTTGTGCTCCAACAAACATGCCTGGGCCCATCTGAACCTGAGACGTCGAACCCCCCACTGTCGCAAGTCAAGTGCTTGGGGCCTGTTCCAGGTCTGGAACTTCCCGAACCGCTGTGTAGATGTCCCGAACTTCTAGGCTCGTGCGCTCGTGCGCTGCAAGGCCACGTGCTCAAGGGCAGTTTTCTTCCCCAGTTTCCCTTGGGCTTCAGGTCTGTAGCGACGTTTTTGGCTCTGTGTGTCGTGGTCAGTCTTGGGTTCAGACGTGGCACTTGGGGAGCCAAGCGTCTGTCCCTAGCACTTGGGGATGGCCTTGCAGTGCTTTCGAGCGGATGTAGCGCTGAATCGACCAGGGCATGGACAAAGACTTCCACAGCCCGAAGCACGGACAAAGACTTCGGCAGCCCGAAACTTGAAACCCGTAAGCAGACGAAGCATAACTTATGCCTAAAGTCGAAGAACGCAGCGGAGTCTGTGCCCTTTACGCCGCGCCTTGCCTTCCAGGGTGCAAGCGCCCCGAAGAGGGCGAGTGTCCCTGGAGACGGCTCGAAGTTGCACAGACTCGTTTCCCTCAAAGTGTTCTTGAAGTCCTTAAACTTAAGAGGGCTGCAAGAACAGCAGAATCCTTGATGTTCCTGCCGTTTTTCCGTCCTCAGTTTGCAAAAGGTGTGGGGTCAAGCTCATGCCAGCCGCACATGCAAGGCTTCTTTGTTGGCTGGGCTGCCATGAGTCAATGGGAATAACACCCGGGAGCATAGCATTGCTTCGACCCAGCCCCCACGTACATTTGCTAAGAGATGAAGCTGACACTTGCCCGAAGGCCTCAAGTATCCTCAAGTCCTCAACCTGCACGAGCATATCCCCTCCTCCAAGAGTTTTGTCGGGGCCTTCACCTTAATCGACCGAGAGGATCTGGAGTTGTGTGCGAGCTACTGGCCCCGGGTGGGCATGCTTAGTTCAAGACAGCCCTTGAGCCCTTTACCCGCCCCTTAACCCGGCCGCAACAGGCCAGTCCAAGCCCAAGAGCCTCCAGAGCCCGCTGCCACAAAAGCCTCTGTAAGAACCGAAGCCCAAAACATCGCTCCAACAAAAACCATCCAAGAAGGGATTTTTTCCCAGCGGTTTATCCAACCTTAAATTGCCCAAGAGTCCCAGAGCGCAAGCCGCCTGTGGCCCTCCATGGACCGGCTTTCCGCTTGCTGGCCGCTCCCCGTGGATCCCCGAGGTGCTCGGCTCCTCGGCTCGGAGATGCTGAGGAAAAAGGGGGTTTCGGAGGGCTTTAGGGGTTTTTAGGGGTTGTGGGGTTTAAGGGTTTAGGGCTTCAGGGCTGTAGGGGTTTATAGGGGTTTGGGGCTCTAGAGGGTTTATGGGGTTTTAGGGGTTTATTGGGTTTAGGGAGCATTCTTTCTGAGGCGTTGGAAGGGAAAACCCCCCCCCCCCCCCCCCACGCAATCGCAATCCATCTTACACAAACGGGCGGCGCGGCACTTCTGCGCCGCCGTTTCCGGGCTTTCCGGGGCAGACTTCTCCTTGGAGACCACCCCCTGAAGATGAAGAGACCGAAACCCACGGCAGCCCAAAAAATTCTGCGCCAAGGCTGCCATGATCCTCCGGGCGAAGATGAGGTATGCGAACCATAAATCCCCTTAGGGTTCATTTGGTCCCCAGAGTTTGCAACTTTGGGATTTTAAGGGCTCTTGGGTGCCTGAGATGTCTTGGAGATTCCCTGAGAGCAACGCCTCCCACCAATGCCCCCAATGCCCTAGCCCTAAACATGCAACGTGCAACTTCACCCTTAGCACCTGACCTCTCGAGTTCAAGTCCGGTTCAAGCCCCCCAGGGCACCCACGAGCATGGCAATAGACTTGTGCCTTCCCAGCTGCGTCGCGTTCTTGGTGTTGCACATTGGCGTCTTTGCTGTGCACGTGGCCACGACCGGGGCCCAGTTCGCAGCTTCCGCTTTTTCGTTAAGAAGTAGATTGCGCCTTGGATGGGTGTCCTGGCGGATCTCGGCTTCCGGGCCTTGAGGGGTTCAGGTGGCGGAATGAGAGATTGAGCCTTCTTTCTTATCGAGCATCGGGGGATCGTCGGTGGTGTTCTTGCCAGGCCCCTACGCCTGTAGACCCCCACAAGTATCTCAGACCCCCAGGATGGCTACGCAGGTAGCTTGTCGAAGGAGATGGGGGTTTCCGAAATTAGGGGTACCTGATTGGGGTCCTTTTTGCAAGGGAATCCCTTATCGGGCCATGAGAAAGGGATCCTAAGCCACCTCCTTCCTCTTTCTTTCGGGCCGTTCGGTCGTTTCACACAAGAGGGGGAGGCCTTCAAGTTGAGGCAGGGTTTAGGGTTTAGGGTTTGGGAGGCAGGGTTCAGGAGGCAGGGTTCAAGACGTTTAAGAGCAGGGCAGTGTGTGCGCAAGTTCAGGGTTTCGGGGCGCTTTGGGAACTTTTCGAACCTGACCGAAAACCTCTTGGACTCTCGGATCAAGGCCTGGGCCTTTTCCGGGCGTTTAGTAGTTTAGTAGCAGCGGCACAGAAGTAGATGGCACATCCTGCAGGCATTCTGCATGAGATCCTTTGCGGTCGGGGAGGGCACGGCGCTGCTGCGATGCGAGGAGGGTCATTGCAGTGGCTGCGCAGCGGAGGCATCGAGCGAGCCCCAGCGTGACAGCACCAGTTGGGACCCCATGGGCCTTGGTGCATGTACTTGGGCATCATGTCCCAAACAGTACGCGTCAAGGAAGGCGTACGAGCTTCATGCGTGGACTTGCGAGCTGTGCAGTTGGGCATCCAGGGAGGTGCAACCCTATCTTGACTTGGTGTGCAAGTGCCTCATCTTCTACCTGGACCTGGCTTTAGACGTGCAAGCGATCATCTTCTTTATGAACTGTCACGAATATCAGTTTGCCCTTCTCAACTTGCTTGGTATCTTGCTTTCAAACGTCTACACCTTTGTCGACATGCGGGTGGTCGTGGGTACTGCAGGAGCAGATGCATGGGAAGCCCTCACGGCCGGCTACCTCGTACCTTTCAACTTACATTACGCGTACCTCACGGGACTGACCTGGGCATCCTGGCAGAAGGCGAGCAAGCAAAGCAGGCAACATGAGTCCGACAAGCAACGTGCGTCTCTCGTGAAAGCGAAACATCCACTTCTTCACTGCAGCAGGCTGGCAGAGGCCCTGATGGAAGCGTTCATTTCTTCCCTGGTGCAGTCGTACGCCCTTGCCCACCACAACGTTTCGCAGAAGACGGCCTACTTTAACCTCACACAGGAGCAAATGGTCTACTTCTCTTTGGCGTTCTCCTTCGGCAACATGGGCGTTGCCTTGATGGGCTTTGATTCGGCCGAGGGGTTGCATCACCTGCCAGGCACAGGCAGAAGCCAGGCCACGAAGCTGCTGGTGCTGGTCGTGCGGGTGGCCGAGGTGAGCTCCAGGATCACCAGCATCGCCTTGTTCAGTGTTTGCACGCGCGGCCTGATTCCCCTTCACTTTGCCGACGCCTGGCCCCAGCCCGTGCAGTTCCTGTGCAAGAGCTTCCTGCTGACGGCGGGTCCCTGCTTGGCCTCCCCGGCTTTGAGAAGTGTTTTCTCAGTTTTCTCTCTCGCTCTTTTTGGTATTTGTCTTGCAAGCTCCACAGGGTGCCAAGGGAGATTGTCTCAGTGGGATCTCAGCGGGAAAAACCGTGCGCCTGTTCCTTTTTTGACTTTCGCTCTGCAGGTTTTGATGGACTTCCTGGTGCTTGTCGTCTGGATTTGGGCGAGCGGTGGTGACACCGCAAAAGCTTTCCTCAGTGTGCTGTGCTGCATGAACCCATTGTTGGAAAAGGGCAATCCTTTTTCTGTGCGGGTGGACTTGTACTATGCCTTTCGGCTGGGGGAGTTTCTCCTTGCAGGGTGCAGCGTGTACCTCGCACGACAGCCTCGAAAGTAAGCCTTTTGTTTTTTGGCGTGTGGTTTGCGTGCTCGATCCCTAAGAAAACACGAGCCCCGACAATAGTGTTTCAGGGCACCAGTGCTGTGCATGAACTCGGCAGCCAAGGTACTACCTGGTTGAGGACATGGAGCCGGTGGCTAAGGCACTTGAAGGAAACACTCTGCTGGTACGTGTCTGCTTAGCTTCAACGCTGATTTGTTGCATCTTACTTCCTGGCATACGCTATCTGGCAGAGCCGGCCCTCTTGCAAGAGGAGATCTTGACAGAGTGGAGCACGAAGCCGTTTCTGGAGCCTCAGAAGCGCCTGTTGAAGGCCTTGATTCTTTCCAACCCCGAGGAGCTCCAAGTGCAGGTGAAGGCCGTGATCCGCCACAGCACCAGAAAGGCAGCCGAGGATGAAGCCTGCCTGGGTTCCTTCTTCCAGACCTGCGTGAACCTGAAGGCCAGCCTTTCGGATCTCGAGGGCCGTCGCTTCCTCGTCCAGCAGCTGGAGCAAGTCCTGCAGGGAAGGCAGAAGAGGTGCGTGGAGCCCAAGCATCTCCAGGGTGTCCTCGAAGTGCTTGCGGCAGCAAGCGAGAGCGATGACCGCGAAGAGCGACAAGGGGAAGAACTCTTGAGAGCACGCTTTAGCAGGTTTTATGTCCCTTTGTGTTCGAGCGCTCTGCTGCGTGTGTTTTTCTAGGTGCCGTGCTTATGTGCTAGCTGCCAGCCGCTTGCGGAGTGGGTCACAGCCGAGGATGACTTGCAGCAGCGGAAGCTAGAGATCTTGCTGAAGCTGGGCCAAACGTACTGGAAAAGCCGAGCCGGCAAGAGCCCAGAAGATTTCAAGAAGCTGCTCAAAGCGATCGACAGCACTGAGCTTCTCACCAAGTCTCAGGATGCCACGGGGGACCAGTTTGAGAAGTTTGAGAAGTTTGAGAAGAATGTGAAGAAGCTGATTGACATGTGGAACAGCAAGTTCGAGAAGGAGGAGTTCGAGATGTACTGCCAGGCAGAGGTCAGCGGCCACCACTGGGAGGCAATGACTGCTTGGTTCACTGCCAAGGCCATGGAAAAGGATTTCGGAAGTGAGACAAACTTCCTGAAGAAGGAGGCTGACTTTCTAAGGCTGGCTGGCATCGTCAGCAAAGCCAAGCAAGATGCCTTGAAAGTGACGGTGAGGTTGCCGAACCTCGCGCTTGCCGAACATGCGCTTGTGACGCACATCAAGCATACACCCTGTGGCATCGAGGGTGGCTGGGAGGAGCTTCAAAGCATCGTTACTGCCGTCAAGGGCTATGACTGGGTTAAGGCGGATCAGGACATTGCGAGAGCAGAGGAAGACATCAAGCGCAGCCAGATGAACGAACAGGTGAAGAAGAACAACTCGATAAAGAAGAGAGCGCAAATGCAGGAGCAGCACGTCAAGCTGCAAGAAGAGAACCAAAAGCTGCAGAAGGAGTACGAACAGGTTAGGAAGCAGAATTCCCAGCTGAGGAAAGGGAACCTGGAAAGCATGAACCGTCAAGCCAAAAAAGTGGACGTGAGTTCCCCAAAAGCTATCAAGGAGATCCCTCTTTTCAGGGACATAACTGCAAGACGCTAGGAGCCTTGTCAACGGTGTGCCGCGGTGCCGCAGAGACTTTTGAGAAGGTACCGAGCCAACGTGCTGGGTTCCTATTTTGTGTGCGGGCTCACGAGCCCGACATGTCAGGTTGCCTTGTTGCTGATCCGATGTTTGTCAGCATCTGCCGACCATACAGTGTGTCACCGTCTCACATCTTTTTCTCCGCGGAACGGGTGGAGTGGGGCTGCTGATTCGGGCTTTTCCATAACAAAAGAGAGTCGCCCTGAGGCCTGAGGCCCTAAATTTCCATGACCTGAATGGAACATGAGGGTCATACTGTGCCTGGGCACAATGCCAGCCCATTCCCAGCAAATGGCAAGCTTCGTCCCACCCTTGCAGGGAGCATCACTTGGAAGGATGGTGATATAGGGGTTGGAAGAACTGCTAATCGTGTACCTTTACGGCCCTTTATGTTCAGATACTATAGAACCCCTCAAAAAACAAACCTATTCTAATCATTCAGGCCCGTGAGCAGCAAGCTTAGGGAATCGTAATCCCAAGCCTTGAATGCCGAAGATTCCCCAAATCTTTGAGCTTCTCAGCGCATCCCGAAGCAGCTTGAGCTAGCAAAGGGCCGTGGGCTAAACATGCTGAGGCTTGTTCTCTTCTTCCGCCTGGGTGCTGTCCCCAGGGGCCTTGAGCTGAAAGATCTGAGACCTTGGGTGTGCAAGTTCCTCGCTCTGGAGCTGGCAGTCGGAACAACATGTAAAACCTGGCCTCACGCGCAGTGTTACGGCAGGTTTACAGCCGGCTGGGACCGACCTTGAGGAGTCCAGCCTTCTAGTACAGGCTTGACCTTTGTCTCGTGGGTGACATCTCGTGACCAGACTCTCTCGACTCCCAACGTCTTTCGAACCCCAAGTATCAAAACCTTACGCTGCCGTAGCCATCCAAAGGTTTGCCGGGGAGTGGGGGAGTCTGGCAGGCTTGCTTGCTGCTTTTCCTGCAGCTCCTGGTCTCGTGTGCCGGCGCCCCCAAAACACGGGGGGGGGGGGGGCATTGTGGGCATTGCTTGGGCGTTGAGCTTTGTGAGGGCTTGCTCGGGCCGAGGGAGTTTTTGAAACTTGGGGGTTCTTTTTTCCAGGACACATTGCCATGCTCAGGATTATACACACCTCTGGCCCAAACCCCGCTTGAGCGACCCGCTCCCCCCCCCCCCCCCCCCCCCCCAAAGAAAGATCAAGCCTGGAACAAAACAAACAACAACCAACGAAGCCTCAGCCTGGACTGCTACGTGCTGCAGATACCGAAGTGCGCTTCTTTTCAGCTCAGGTCTGTACCTGGGCCACTTGCCGCGAGCTGCGAGCCCTGAGCCTGTCGCCGGCGCGGTCGGGGGCCGTGAAGCTTGAGCTTCCAAGGCGTCAACAGTCTGCCACATCCCCCAATTCTGGGTGTTCGAAAGAAGACACTGCCTGAGGAAGGTGGTATGTCGTTGAACCATGGAGTCTTGAGCCACTTGAAGCCCTTGGCTACAGGGGGGGTTGAGGATCACTTCCCAAGGCTGGGTCTGCTGCTGCCCCTGGCCATTCCCTTGCTAGGCCGGGTTCTCCGGCCCTTGGGCTCCTTTTTGTTCTCCCTCTTTCGGGGCCAGGCCAATGGGTTTCAAGAAAGGTTGCACGTCGTGCAGGTTGAGGTTGCATCCTCTCCCTCTCGGAGGCCTGCAGGCATGATATCCTGCAAACCGAAACTTTGCTGAAACCCTGAGCGTCCTGACTGGCCCTGACTGGCACGCTGGCCCAAAGCCCGCCTCAAAGGAGGCCCCCCACCCCCCGCCCCTCTCCCTCTCTCTCTCTCTCTCTCTCTCTCTCTCTTTTTTAAAAAAAACATTTTTGCTTTTTTGTGTGTCAGGTCTCGTTGCTCCCTCCCTTCCTTCCTTGAATTAAGTTCCTCCCCCTCCTTTCTCCAGCAGGCGCCGCGCAGTTGATCCAGCCTTGGCTCCTCTGGAAGGCGCGGCGCGTGCACGCCGAGTACTCTCACCCCTCTCACCCCTCAGTATCCTCCTTGTCCGCTCTCCCACATCACGCCATCTCACTCTCCCCCTCTCCCCCTCTCCCCCTCTCCCCCTCTCCTCTCCCCTTTCTCCTTCTTTTCGCTCAGCTCTCCTCGCTCTCAGCGCTCAGCTCTCGCTCTCTCCTCTCTCTTCCCTCTGAATTCCTCCTCTGCTTTGTTATCCCCCTGGAGCTCAGGAGCTGCGGCAGAAGGCGCCGGCTGCAGGCCCCTCTCTCCGGGATTGGGCTGTTAAGAGGGGGAGGATTGAGGGCATTTGAAGGTCTCAAAAAAATGCGCTCTCTCCTCATCTCTGCTTTCTCTCCTTCTGCGCGCCCTTCTGTTTTGTTCGCAGCCGCCAGCTTTTCGTGGCCTTTCCCAGGGGCTCTGACTTCTTCCCCTTGTTTTGTATGTCGCATAGAACTCTCGCATGACTCGCATGGACTCGCATAGACTGTAAGCAGTGTATGTCGCGCCAAGAGCAGAAGGCAGAGTTTTGCTGTGCGCCCTGAGCGTCCTGAACCATGAAACCCAAGCGCCATTCTGCACCCCCTGCATTGTCTGGCCATCGTTGTTGCCTAGCGATTGTGCTACAGGCACCACGCAGGCGCCAGCAAGCCCGTCGACGAGTTCCACAAGGCAAAGACAAAAACACCATGCCCGAAACCTGAAAAAGTTTGGACAAAAAATTCGCCTTTTTTTGACCCATTCCAGACAGACCTGGCGTTGCTCTGCCCTAGAAGGATGCTCATGTAGAACATCACAGCACGAGCCAAGCCGGGATCAAGATTCTCATCCCGAGGTTTTCTGGCTTTCAGGCCCTTGAGGCCCTTCAGGCACTTGGGCCTTCAAGAGGCCTTTTTCAGCAACACGTTGCTGGGTTCAAGGCGGAAAGAAAACAAACAGCTAAGAGAGAGAGAAACAAGAAACTTTTGGGTGGTCTTTGGGGGGCATGCTTGGGAGCACTTCCCGATGCCCACCCCCTCCTCCCCACAAGAAACAAACAAAAGCAGAGAGGCGTTTGCATGCCAGCGGCCTCGAGGCTGTGGCGCAAGGTGCGCGGCTGTGTCTGTGTTGCTTCGAGAGAAGCCCTCTCAGAGACCTGAACCCACCCAAAATCCCCCCCCAAACCCCGCAGCTCTCGCAAGGTGCGGCCTTCGCCGCTGCATCCGCGGCCTTGCTGGCAGGGCCCGCGGCTAAGTTTCAAGGGGCCTTTCGGAGAGTGGACGCTCTTTATACGAGCCTACGAATCTGAACAGGATGTGAGAGATAGCAATTCATGTTTCAAGCATGTTTCAAGACCAAAGCCCCCCGTAGGACGACCACATTGGACGTGCGCAGCCGCTTGACGCCGGAGCCCCCGAGTGATTTCTTTCGTAGGGTGGGTGGTGTGCTTAGTTTTGTTCAGATTTCAGGGTTGAAGTTGAAGGCCCTCCGGTATATATATATATATATATGTGTGTAGGTATGTATATATGTATGTATGTAGGTAGGTAGGTATGTATGTATATATATATATATGTGTATGTGTGTGTGTTTTTTAAATGCATGTTTTTCTCTCTCCCTCTCTCTCTCTCTCGTCTCCACAAGCTGTGTGTGCCGGGTCCTCAATACGAGGGTGCCGACCGTCGCTTTTGTGTGCTGCTTTCTCGGCTTTGCTGCCCGTAAGCGCACTTGCCTAAAGTCCCCTTCAGCCGCGCGATGCGATTTCTACCGGCTTCGGGCGTTCTCTCTTCTTCTTGTGTAGCAGGGGTAAGGCAACTGAAGCCGTTTCGGACCGCGGTATGCGCCACCGCCCCCCCCCAAAAGAGGCTTTGGCTTTGTGCTGGCCTCTCGTGGCTCTCTACATCCTTGGCGCTGGCCGACTTCTCAGGAGGAAGGGCCCCCGTCAGCTCAGGACAGGAGCCCCCGCAGTAAAGGGCAGCTGCTGAAAAACCCTTCTCGAGGGCTTTTGCGCGAGGTGGAGATGGACCAGGCGCTCTCAGACACAACAGCAGCCTGCCTTGCCAAGTGCCCAGGCGCGGCGTGTGATGCACGGGGAGGTTCAAAATTCCGACCACAGACCGGACCCCTTGTGGGATTTTGAAACGATGAGAGATGCGACTGAGAGCCTCCACCGAAAGCTCGCTTTTGTTTCGAGGCCGCACGCTTCCCCTCCACTTCTTGCTGCGGGGGCTGGAGGCGCGTGTAGGTGGAGGTTGCAAGCTTCAGGGGGAGGCGTTCACATGTCCAATCTTCGCAAAACTCGCACCGTGCGGTAGAAGTTATAGAGGGACCCCCCCCCTCCCCCCCAAAAAACCAGAGCAAAAAAGACCCCCCCCAGAAAAGAGGTGGGCTCCCGGCTCTGGGTCCTCTTGGTCCTGGCGGCGCTGCCAGGAGCTCTGTGCCGAAGAAACTTGCAAAGAGCCGAGCGTGAAAAAGTAGAGACACCTTCAGTGTGCCCAGAACAAAAAATCAGAGTGAAAGCCTTTGAGAAGGCAAAACGTGGCTCCTTCCCGAATATCTGCAGATGCAAGAGGTGCCGTGGAAGAGCCCTAGATTTTAGCAAAGCATGTTCTTTATCCATGGGGTCTGGGAAGCACCATAGGTTTCAAGTGCAAACAACATGTTGGTCCTTGAGATGCCCAACATCCTGAGCCCATATCTCAGGCTCCGGTCAGATCGCCTTCAGATCTCGCGAGGCGCCTTGAGCCCGTGCCTGGGTTGCTGGTCCATGGCTTTCTGCAGTTCCATCAGTCCGGGTCTCTGAGAGGAGTGCCTTTGATTCCTGTGATGCTCTTCGCGGACTACATCTTCACGGTGCAGGGCTCGCTGGGGGACTATGGGGGGCTGAGATTCCAGGTATTGGCGCAGGGTGCGAGCGCATCGGGCCCACGCGGCCCAAGACGCCACAAGCTCTGCCACATCGTTGCACCCAAGGCCTACAGGCCATTAGAAAGAGGCATGCCTTTAGGCACTTCTCTTAAAGGCCCTAAACCCCGGAGCCGCCCGGAAGCCGCCCGGAAGCGCCTTGGCCTTAAGGCGGCCATCCTCTTCGGGGGAAGGACCTGCCGGAAGCTGGCGTCTTCCCGACTTGTTTAACGGCCTAGCTCTAGGGTTTAGGGTTTAGAGTTTAGGGTTTAGGTCTTTGGGTTTTGGGGTTTAGGGTTTAGGTTTTAGGGTTTGGGGTTTGGGGTTTGGGGTGTCGGGTCCCTGAACCCTTCCAGGCTACTCCTGGCACTGCCGGCGATGGCGGCCAACCCGCTCAAGTGCGCGCCCGGTGAGTGTTGTGTCTCGGTGGTTGGAGTGTCATAGCCGATAAATTCCAGCATCTGCTGTGATTTGGACTTCTATTCTTCTGGGATGCAATTACAGGTTTGGAAGCGAGTTCAGGATGTGTGACTCAGTGTAGCTTTGCCAATGGAGTAAAGATTTAGAGTGCTGTAGCTTCGATTTCCACGCGCAGTCTGGCGATGCTTCAGCATCGCGAAGCCTTTTGCGGCTTATCAGGACGTCTTTCCCGCCATTTGAGATGTGTGAGGACATTGAGAGCTAAGGCTTCCCATGCTTTTCTCTTACTCCCCAAACTCGTATACCCCGAAGAGCTCCACGAGTGCTCCACTGACCGTGCTCCTCATCCTTAAATTGCATAATTTCGGGGCCACAAAGCCCTGGCAGCCAAGTGCGCACATGGCTTCCGAGGCCTGCACGGTAAGTCACTGTAACGATGAAGTCCTGGCCCATGTTCACATTCAGATCCGAGAGTTCGCGCCGAGCACGTCGTACGCGTTGCAGCGCCGAGATTCTGGCCCGCGCGGACTGCTTTGAAACGTGCTCGTGCGAAGGCGAGCGTGCCGGCGGTGGAGCCCAAGGAGGCACCGGCAGCTCCGGCAGCTTCGCCGGCAGAAGCAGCGCCGGCCGAGGTGCCTCTAGTGAGCGTGTGTGCCCGTTGGTGTAGCCGTTCCCGCGGCTTCGTCCCTCGACCGCCTGAGACACACTGCAAGCCTCTTTTCCCTGCAAGCTCTGAACTTTTGGACGCTTCCCAAGCCGAACTGAAACTCAACCCTTCTGCCGTCAAAGCCGTCTTGGGGGTTTGCTCCCTTGGGGAAGGCGCCTGTAGCAGATGCCGCCGCCGAGCAGAAGGAGCCTCCAGCTGAGGTGGGTTGCCACATAGTGAAGTGCAGTGAAGATAGTGAAGTGAAGCACCGTGTCCTCTGGACCACATGCACGTTCCGTGCAGAAGTTGCACAAGGCTTAGGCTTTCGGATGATTTCGGGTGGACAGTTGCAGGATGTTGCAAGATGTTGCAAGTCTCCGCACTCGGAGGCCCCAGCAGCGGGCAAGGGCAAAGCGAAGGGGCTCAAAGGGCCGGGAAAGGGCCCACCGGTGACTCGCCGGAGCTTTGTGGGTGTGAGAGGGTTCCTTGTTCTTTTTTTGTTGTGTGGTGGTGTCGGGATGAGTTTGTCATCTTGTTGTCTACAACTGAGTTTTCGGATGCGCAAGGAGTCGAGCAGATGGGGGCTTCACCCAGCCTCTGAGTCTGAGACAGCTCAGGTGAAGGGCAAGGGCGCCCCTCCGCCACAGACCGAGCAGAAGGAGGCAGCTTTCAGAGAAGTTTCCATCATGGTGGTCATGGCCTTCGCGGGTGCTGTTAATTTTGATCATTCTAACACATTCCTTCAGGTCTGTGCCTCTCATGAGAAGAAAAGATTGTTGTGTTGATTTTTTACCATCAGTGACTACCATCAGAACTTTCACTTCGGCCCGAAGCCTTGCCCCGCGCCCTTAATCACATACCGACGTGCCTGCGGCCGACGGGCCGAGCGCAAAGAAGAAAGCTGCCTCGCACCGTGCACAGCTCTTTTTCCATTTTGTTGTTCCTGCTGCGCCACCCTCAGAAGTAGGGAGGTGCTGAAGCAACCTCGAGCTGGACGTGGTCATACGGGATTGCATCTTACTGGCATTGTATGCCCGTGCACTGCTTTGAAACGTGCTCGTGCGAAGGCGAGCGTGCCGGCGGTGGAGCCCAAGGAGGCACCGGCAGCTCCGGCAGCTTCGCCGGCAGAAGCAGCGCCGGCCGAGGTGCCTCTAGTGAGCGTGTGTGCCCGTTGGTGTAGCCGTTCCCGCGGCTTCGTCCCTCGACCGCCTGAGACACACACTGCAAGCCTCTTTTCCCTGCAAGCTCTGAAATTTTGGACGCTTCCCAAGCCCCGCTGAAACTCAACCCTTCTGCCGTCAAAGCCGTCTTGGGGGTTTGCTCCCTTGGGGAAGGCGCCTGTAGCAGATGCCGCCGCCGAGCAGAAGGAGCCTCCAGCTGAGGTGGGTTGCCACATAGTGAAGTGCAGTGAAGATAGTGAAGTGAAGCACCGTGTCCTCTGGACCACATGCACGTTCCGTGCAGAAGTTGCACAAGGCTTAGGATTTCGGATGATTTCGGGTGGACAGTTGCAGGATGTTGCAAGATGTTGCAAGTCTCCGCACTCGGAGGCCCCAGCAGCGAGCAAGGGCAAAGCGAAGGGGCCCAAAGGGCCGGGAAAGGGCCCACCGGTGACTCGCCGGAGCTTTGTGGGTGTGAGAGGTTCATTGTTCTTTTTTTGTTGTGTGGTGGTGTCGGGATGAGTTTGTCATCTTGTTCTACAACTGGGTTTTCGGATGCGCAAGGAGTCGAGCAGATGCGGCTTTGCCCAGTTTATCGAAAGCCTGTGAGTCTGAGACAGCTCAGGCGAAGGGGAAGGGCGCCCCTCCGCCGCAGACAGCCGACGAGCCGAGCACAAAGCAGAAAGCTGCTGCTTCGCTGATCCAAGCTGCGAAAGATGGCAGCCTCGAGAAGTCGTTGCAGGACTTCCAGCAGAGGGCTTCTGTGAGTGAGGCAGGGCCTGGCAAAAGGGTGTGATACGGGACGGGACTTTTGCTGGCGTGTGAATTCGAGATTTCGCAGCGAGCACGTCGTATGTGTTGCAGCACCGAGATTCCTGCCCCACGCAATGCTTTGAGACGTGCTCGTGCGCAGGCGAGCGTGCCCGCAACGGAGCCGAAGGAGGCACCGGCAGCTCCGGCAGCTTCGCCGGCAGAAGCAGCGCCGGCCGAGGTGCCTCTAGTGAGCGTGTGTGCCCGTTGGTGTAGCCGTTCCCGCGGCTTCGTCCCTCGACCGCCTGAGACACACTGCAAGCCTCTTTTCCCTGCAAGCTCTGAACTTCTGGACGCTTCCCGAGCCCCGCTGAAACTCAACCCTTCTGCTGTCAAAACTGTCTTGGGGCTTTGCTTGGGAAGGCGCCTGTGGCAGATGCCGCCGCCGAGCAGAAGGAGCCTCCGGCTGAGGTGGGATTCCACGTTGTGAAAGTGCAGTGAAGTGACAGCACCGTGTCCTCTGGCCCAACTGCAATTCTCGTGCAGAAGTTTGCACAAGGCTTAGGATTTCGGATGCTTTCGGGTGGACAGTTGCAGGATGTTGCAAGATGTTGCAAGTCTCAGCACCGCACTCGGAGGCCCCAGCAGCGAGCAAGGGCAAAGCGAAGGGGCCCAAAGGGCCGGGAAAGGGCCCACCGGTGACTCGCCGGAGCTTTGTGGGTGTGAGAGGGTTCCTTGTTCTTTTTTTGTTGTGTGGTGGTGTCGGGAAGAGTTTGTCATCTTGTTGTCTACAACTGGGTTTTCGGATGCGCAAGGAGTCGAGCAGATGCGGCTTTGCCCGGTTTATCGAAAGCCTGTGAGTCTGGGACAGCTCAGGCGAAGGGGAAGGGCGCCCCTCCGCCGCAGACAGCCGACGAGCCGAGCACAAAGCAGAAAGCTGCTGCTTCGCTGATCCAAGCTGCGAAAGATGGCAGCCTCGAGAAGTCGTTGCAGGACTTCCAGCAGAGGGCTTCTGTGAGTGAGGCAGGGCCTGGCAAAAGGGTGTGATGATACGGGACGGGACTTTTGCTGGCGTGTGAACTTCGAGATTTCGCAGCGAGCACGTCGTATGTGTTGCGGCACCGAGATTCCTGCCCCACGCAATGCTTTGAAACGTGCTCGTGCGCAGGCGAGCGTGCCCGCAACGGAGCCGAAGGAGGCACCGGCAGCTCCGGCAGCTTCGCCGGCAGAAGCAGCGCCGGCCGAGGTGCCTCTAGTGGGCGTGTGTGCCCGTTGGTGTAGACGTTCCCGCGGCTTCGTCCCTCGACGGCCTGAAGCACGCTGCAAGCCTCTATGCCCTACAAGCCCTTGAACTTCTGGACGCTTCCCGAGCCCCGCTGAAACTCAACCCTTCTGCTGTCAAAACTGTCTTGGGGCTTTGCTCCCTTGGGAAGGCGCCTGTGGCAGATGCCGCCGCCGAGCAGAAGGAGCCTCCGGCTGAGGTGGGATTCCACGTTGTGAAAGTGCAGTGAAGTGACAGCACCGTGTCCTCTGGCCCAACTGCAATTCTCGTGCAGAAGTTTGCGCAAGGCTTAGGATTTCGGATGCTTTCGGGTGGACAGTTGCAGGATGTTGCAAGATGTTGCAAGATGTTGCAAGTCTCAGCATCGCACTCGGAGGCCCCAGCAGCGAGCAAGGGCAAAGCGAAGGGGCCCAAAGGGCCGGGAAAGGGCCCACCGGTGACTCGCCGGAGCTTTGTGGGTGTGAGAGGGTTCCTTGTTCTTTTTTTGTTGTGTGGTGGTGTCGGGATGAGTTTGTCATCTTGTTGTCTACAACTGGGTTTTCGGATGCGCAAGGAGTCGAGCAGATGCGGCTTTGCCAGTTTATCGAAAGCCTGTGAGTCTGAGACAGCTCAGGCGAAGGGGAAGGGCGCCCCTCCGCCGCAGACAGCCGACGAGCCGAGCACAAAGCAGAAAGCTGCTGCTTCGCTGATCCAAGCTGCGAAAGATGGCAGCCTCGAGAAGTCGTTGCAGGACTTCCAGCAGAGGGCTTCTGTGAGTGAGGCAGGGCCTGGCAAAAGGGTGTGATGATACGGGACGGGACTTTTGCTGGCGTGTGAACTTCGAGATTTCGCAGCGAGCACGTCGTATGTGTTGCAGCACCGAGATTCCTGCCCCACGCAATGCTTTGAAACGTGCTCGTGCGCAGGCGAGCGTGCCCGCAACGGAGCCGAAGGAGGCACCGGCAGCTCCGGCAGCTTCGCCGGCAGAAGCAGCGCCGGCCGAGGTGCCTCTAGTGGGCGTGTGTGCCCGTTGGTGTAGACGTTCCCGCGGCTTCGTCCCTCGACGGCCTGAAGCACGCTGCAAGCCTCTATGCCCTACAAGCCCTTGAACTTCTGGACGCTTCCCGAGCCCCGCTGAAACTCAACCCTTCTGCTGTCAAA